CATCCAAGGTACATGCCCTTGACTGGAATCGATCCTGGGACCCTTCAGTCCACAGGCCGATGCTCTATCCACTGAGCAGAACCAGTTAGGGCTTCAAAATATTTTTAATTGATTTTTAGAGAGACAGTAAAGGAGAGAGAGAGAGAGAGAGGGAGAAACATTGATATGAGAGCTTTGCATCTATTGGCTGCTTCCTGCATGTCCCCTACCAGGGATCCAGCCCACAACCCGGGTATGTGCTCTATCCCAGAATGGAACCAGCAATCCTTTGGTGCACAGGATGATGCCTAAATAGCTGAGCCACTCCGGTCAGAGCATAACTATTGTTTTTAGAATGTAGTTGCCATCACTTTTCTGGTGTGTATAAAACTGCTATATCGAATAAGTGTTTTCCTGTGTGTGTGTTTTTCTCTAGAACAAGAAAATTCAGATTCGGAGAGTAACACCATCAATGTATTATTTTTTGGAAAATTAGCAAAGGACTGTGCAAAAGTTTTCTCTGAAGGGGTAAAATATTTTCATATTACTTTATCCTTTTAGAAGTGGGTTTAGAATTATTGATGATGCTATAGTCATCCTGTAGACTTTTTTTTTTTAGAGATTCATTACATATTTGCAGGTATGTAAAAGAATGATACTTAAAGAAGCAACATCTTTAAAATTGCAGCAACCCTAAGATAGTAAAACTCATCATTGACATAAAAAGGGACATTTTTTCCTTTTACTTCATTTTAATTTTTAGTGTTCAATAGAATGTCTTAAAGATATATACATTTATCCTCAATTAAAAAAAATTCTTACTAAGAAATAATATGAGCAGTAGCTCTCTGTATGTTTATAATGTTTTCTTTTTTTCTTTTTTTTATCCTCACCCAGGTATATTTTTGGAAGGGAGGGAGACAGAGAGAGAGAAATATTGATGTGAGAGAGACACATCAATTGGTTGCCTCCCGCATGCTTCCCAACCAGGGCGAGGGATTAAACCTACAACCCAAGTATGTGTCCTTGACTGAGAACTAAACCCACATCCCTTTAGTTAACAGGCTGACACTCTAACCACCAAGCTTCACTGGCAAGAGCTATAATATTGTTTTGTAATTGTTTTAAAAATACATGCCTGCTAAATCCTCATCAAAATGCTATCAAAATGAACCCAGCAGCATATCAGAGCAGACACACAGACCAAGTGGGATTTATCCTGGGAGTGCAAGATAAGAAAACCAATCATTGCAATACATCACATTAATAGAACAAAAGAAAAAAGGAAATGATCATCTTAATTGATGCAGAAAAGGCATTAAAATAAAATCCTACACCTGTTCATAATCAAAACACTTAGACAACTAGGAATAGAAGGGAACTTCCTCAACATTATAAAGAACATTTATGAAAAATCCACAACTAACATCATACTCAATGGTCAAAGACTGAAAGCATTTCCCCTAAGATTAGGAATAAGACACAGGAAGCTCACTTTCTCCACTGCTACTCAACATTGTACTGGAAGTTCTAGCTAGAGTAATCCTATATAATAAAATGGTAATATGCAAATTGACCCTAATGGCAGAACGGCCACTGGAGCAGTCACTATGAGGTGCACTGACCACCTCTTGGTCCCTTTCCCTGACCGGTAGGTTCCAATTGCCTGATGGCCACTCGTGGTGAGGGCGGGGCCAGCAAGTGGGTGGGAACAGCCAACCTCTCGGTCCCTTCCCCCAGCCATCAGGCAATAATCACCCGATGGCGAATGGGGAACCAGGGATGGGTGGTGGCCGGGGGTGGGGCTGGCTGTGGGCAGCTGGGGAAGATGGCCCTGATTGCAGGCCAGGCCTAGGGACTGTACCCGCGCATGAATTTTGTGCGCCGGGCCTCTAGTTAAATAAGAAGAAGAAATGAAAGACATCTAAATTGTACAGGAAAAAGTACAACATGATAACATGATCCTATATTTGAAAATCCCAAAGGATCCAAAAGAAAGCTATTAAAACTAATAATGAGTTAGCAGTATTTCAGGGTGTAAGGTCAACATACAAAACTCAGTAGGATTTCAATACACTTAACAATGAACAATCTGGAAATGAAATTATGAAAATTATTCCAGAG